GGTCCTAGAGAGGATGGTTAATGCTCGTCTTGTTTGGTTCCTGGAATCGAACATGCTCCTCTCGCCTACCCAGTGTGGGTTCCATCGACAGCACTCCACCATGGACCATCTGATTCGACTTGAAGTCTTTCTCAAGAGAGAACACCTTGTTTCTGTGATCTTCGATCTCGAGAAGGCTTATGACACTACATGGAGGTATGGAATTTTGCAGGACCTCCACTCCTATGGGTTGCATGGCCATCTACCCATTTTTATTCACAACTTTTTACTGAACAGGCGATTCCAAGTCCATGTGGGTTCAACTCTTTCCCATTCCTTTCCACAGGAACTTTGAGTCCCTCAGGGCTGTGTCTTGAGTGTCACACTTTTTAATGTTAAGATTAATGCTATCACTAATAATCTTCCTCCGACTGTTGCAAATGACTTCCACATCTCGTGTCAGTCGTCAAACATGAGGTTTATTGAGCAGCAGCTTCAGACTGTCCTCAATCGGTTGTTGACATGGACCACTGCAAACGGTTTTAAATTTTCTTTTTTTGCCACCAACAGGGTCTCTTCCCCAATCCCGAGCTCCGTCTCGGCAATATAGTTATTTGTGTTGTCCCTGAGGCAAAATTCTTGGGGCTTATCTTTGACCATAAGCTTAGCTTCATTCCGCACATCAAGCAGCTACGTGTCAAGTGTGCAAGGGCTTTGAACATCCTCCATGTCCTCTCTTCCACCTCTTGGGGTGCGGATCGATGTTCTATGTTCAGGATCTATCGTGCAGTGATTCGATCCAAACTGGACTATGGGTCTTTGGTCTATGGTTCTGCCTGGACCTCGGCCTTGAAGATGCTGGACCCCATTCACCATCTGGGGCATCGGCTCTGTACTGGGGCTTTCCACACTTCTCCAGTCCAGAGTTTGTACACTGAGTCCCACGAACCTCCTCTTCACCTTCGTCGTTTGCAACTTTCTTTACAATATGCTGCCAAGCTTCGATCCTTACCACGGCATCCCACCTGAGATTGTGTTTTTCTCCCATGATGTGCCATGCTCTTTTGGAACAGACGGTCTGCTATTCCTTCCTTTGGCCTTCGTATCCAGGCGCAACTGGCTGAATTGCATCTGGCATTGGATGACATTGCTGTCCCCAATGATCAGCCCATTCCACCTTGACTTATTACCATCCCTTGCTGTGACCTTTCTCTGAGTCATCTGAGGAAGGCAAATACTCCCGATTGGAAGTATCATCTTTTTGCTGAGCATCTTTTGAGCCATTCTTCTCTTCCTATTTACACGGATGGTTCGAAATCGGGTGACTCGGTAGGTTCTGCTATGGTGTGCTGTGGCTCGGTAGTTGCTCGCAGAATCCCCTCTACAGTTTCTGTGTTCACTGCTGAGTTGTATGCTATTTCTCTTGCCCTGGATCATGTAGAAGCTATGCAGTACAGTAATTGTACTATTTACACTGATTCTCTTAGCTCTCTACTGTCCCTGGAATCGCTTAACGTTGGTTCTCACCCTGTTCTCATCGATATTCAACACCGATTGGCCCACTTTTCTCTATCTTCTGTTTCCCTCCAGTTTTTCTTGTTCCCTGGCCACGTCGATATTCACGGGAACGAGCTTGCTGATACCACAGCTAAGTCCTTCTGCTCTGGTGCCATCACGGCCATGCCTGTCCCATACATGGACTGCGGTCCTGTCTTTAAGGCATGGCTTTGCACCAATTGGCAGTCAACTTGGGTTGAGCAATGTCATAACAAGCATTTCCAGATCAAGCCTACTGTTGGTCTTTGGCCCTCTTGCTTCCGTAAGGATCTGAAGGAGGAATTAGTCTTGGCAAGGTTACGCATTGGTCACAGTTTTTTAACCCATCATTTTCTTTTATCAGGTATTGACCCACCGAGGTGTAGCTATTGTGACACTCAAGTCACAATAGCCCACATTTTACTGTCCTGCCGTCATTACGATCGTGAGCAGCAGCATTATTTTAAACACATATTTTCTAAGAGTTTACCTCTGACGTTGGACAGTATCATTGGTAATGGTGACACTGTCCGTTTAGATTGTATTTTCAATTTTTTACGCACTATAGGTATTTTTAATTGTATATAAATCTTTTATCGACATATATTGGTTTTAACTCACTGTATTTTTACATTTTACTTTAATTTACTTTCACTGTTTTTACTGGTTGTTTGGTGCAGATAGTCTCGTTGCTTTGCGCCATAAAACACCAAACAACAACAACAATATTAATTATGTCGTGACTAGTGAGCCTGTCAGGTGTCGATTGCATGCTTGCTATAAAATTTCAGAATATAGAAAAAAAAATGTTCAACAGTTTTTAACTCAAAAATATTTTAGAATTGATATTTTGTCATTATGTAAAATTCGTAAGAATAATGAAAAAAGTGTTCCACTTTCGTTTCTTCACAGCTCAAAGTCTTGCCTGTAAACATTGTAGTTATTGGGGTTTTTTTTTAGAAATTTTCTTCCCATCCCAAAATAAGTTTATATTTGCTAAGTAACTATCATCTCTTGAAAATGTTTCACCTCTTGTTTTCCATTTGATTTTCCTTTTCTGTTAATGGTTTTATTTATAGAGTCCTACATTGCTACCCTTTTGACATAGTCTGAGCAATTACTAATAAAACTTAACTTGGAAAATGTCTAGAGTCAACAGTTAAATACCATTATACAGTGTAGATTATAACTTATTTATGTCATTGTTGAATGAATTAAGTAATATGATCAGTAATTTGTAATACCTCAAAATATTGACTTCTTAATATTCTTGTAGGGGTATATAAAAGGAATCAAATGGGAAATTTAGAACTTAGGAAAACTACAGATTTGGGAGCTTGTTTTTTGTAGTTTAATTAATGTTTTTTCATTTCTAAAAATTTTTTTATGTTAAATTATATCAGGAAACTAAAGATATTTTCTGTAACAAGAAATTTAATAGGTAAGCTTAGTTATGTTTACTGAGTACAGTAGATGACAGCAAAATATTATTGTTAAGCTTATTGTGCTCAAAAAATGCACACAAAACACCTATGGTTGTTTTTTAAGATAAATTACATTTGTTATATATAAGTAGATTTAGACTTAAGAATATTGTTTTGCAAAAAAAATCATGATACCTATACTTAGCAAAGATAGTGGTAACATCATTTTCAAAAGTGAGGCCCTAGTAAAAATCTTTGTCAGGTTTTACCATCAATCAGCAAAATTAACTTTCAAAAGAAATATGTTAATCAATATCAAGTAATTTCAAACTGACTGGATATATAAAGTGGAACATTCTGACCAGGAATAACAAAAAATTGAAATTTCATGATTAAAGAAAGTATTTTTCATGCTTTTAAAAATGATGTCTTATAACAAAAGATAAAAATTGGGGGATACTGATGACACTTCTCCAGCCCATGAAAAGTTAGCATCAAAATGATGTTTATTTTTTCATAGTCTGTTTTTGTTTTTTTACTTTAGGTGTAAACATTGGTGTGTGTGTAATGCATTAATATGCACGAGTTTTATAGATGCCAGAAGTTGTGGGAATTGGGCCAAGAAAAGAAACAAGTGGAAAGAGCAATGACAGGAGTACATCAGGAACTAGAGAAATTAGCTAAGAAGTAAGACATGAATTTCTTTATTTGTTAGTAAATTTATGTTGGTTATTATCAGAGCGTGACTAAACATGCATTGTATTAAAGTAAGAAATAAAAAAATGTCTAAATAAACAAGTCATAATTATTTTTTTTAACTTATGATAATTTTTTTAAAAGAAAATTATTACTACTATCTCTGTCATGCCTATAAGGAGAGTAACTTTTGAATATCTTGATTTGTGAATATTGTATTTTGCTTAGTTTGGAAACTGACTACCAGGCGATTATTCATCAGTTTTTATATCTTGTTTAAAAAGTAAAGAAAAACTTTTCAAAAAAGGAAGTAAATGTAGGGATGGTTAATATAAAAAACAATTCAAACAAGATGGTAGGGATGGCATTTGAATCATCCCTACACAGTGTAATAGAACGTTAACAATAGGATAATAATAGGATAAATTAAACTCAGTTGTGATTGAATAGTTATATATATATTGCTATATGTTAATTCTTGCCTGTTCTATTATGTAGGGATGATACATATGTCATCCTTACTATCTTGTTTGCATTGTTTTTAAACGACTGATATTAGCCATACTTATACTTACTTCCTTTTTTGAAAAGTTTTTTTCTTCTCATGTTTGCTTGTTTTTTTAATGCAGTGTTTCAATAGACATAGGAAGGTTGTATTTATAACCAAGTTCTAAATTCAATGAAGTTCCAACTGTAATATTTATTGTTTATCTGTTATTGGTTGGTAAGTCCTGTTTCACCCTGTACTTAAGTTTTTTTAAATGAACACCAAAGGTATGTAAGAAAGCTAACTTTAAGGAGTAACGATAATATCATTTACGCTAGAATTATGATTTTTTTTTTAATCACTACTAGTTAATAATACTTATCAAAACAGCTACTTTGTCTGAAACTATGTCACCTCAGTGAAATTTGTTAACATCAATGTTTTGGTTTTAGAGTTATCATGTAATAAAAAACAAGCAAAAGAAAGGAGAACAAGAAATTCTAACTTTTTTTGCAAAGATATTTAACAACATTCCCAGAAGTTGTGATTCGGTCATTATATAGATAGTCATAAAAGAAAACACTATAGTACTGTAAAGTTCTGATGAACTGTCGAGGAGATATTTAAAATACCATTTTGATGAACAATCTGAGCCATCCCTACATAGGCAGTGCTACTTCCTGCATGATAGGACATAGGCCGTAAACATTTTTATCATAAGATGCAAAGTGAAAAACTGAAATCACATAGTTTTCTGGATTGAATGGTTATTTCAGACTTGTGTTTAATAAATTTACCTTTAGCATCTAGCTATAGAAAGGTGCACATTGGCCTTTTGATAGAGCTCTGAATTTCAGAGCTGGAAAGCTGGATTTTAATTTGTACAATACCATAAAATATTCTCTCACTTTTAGGTGTGGGTACACAACAAGAGTGACAGTCAATCCATTAGTGCATAAGGTAGAGTGCTTCTGACTGGCTGTCTTTCCTCTGACTAGTAGTTCAAAATTAGGAATGGCAGCAAATAGCCTTAGTAGTTTTCCTGTAATTTCAAATATAGCCACAGAATAGAGAGGCAGCATAGCCCAGTGACTATTGCTTTGGACTCATAATCAGGGGGTTGGAAGTTTAATCCTTTATACATAACATGTTGTTGTGTCTTTGAGCAAGACACTATGTAGTCTCTTCCCAGGTATGTAATGGTTACCAGTGGGTAGCTGGAGGTTAACTGATAATGGAATAGCATCATGTTCAGGAGGAATGTAACAGCATTTTCATCCCCTCATCACTTGAAATCATGGTTCAGCATTGGCTCCTATGCCATCTAGGCTTGAGGTGGATTTTAACAGAAAATTGTTTCTGTTATAAGCTTTTATTTTAAAATCACACTTATATCATTATAGTGTTAACTTATGTTTTCAAGCAACTTTCTCAGAGTATAAAGTTTATCAGTGAAAATCAGTTTCATCTTTCTCTGCAGTATTGTAGTTTTTTATTCCATCAATAGAAAATGATAGATTTAAAATAAATATTGAATAAAAGCTATTGAAATTAAAAGTATAGCAATTTATTCAATATCTATGACTAAATTAGTATTATTAGAAATATAAAAATATTCAAGTGATGATACTGAATATCATGTCACTTACCAGACACTGTTGTTTATTTCTACTTTACAATAAATAAAATGCCATTTAGTTACATCTACAGGTGTACTTAAATAACCAGTGAAGATGTAAAATGTGTTTTTTAATAATATTTTAGTTGCTACTTACAAAAGTAATTTGTATCTTCTTCTGGTAGAGAATTATAATAAGTGAACAGTGTAAAAATATCTAGGTGTAACCCATTAAATTTCAAATTAGCAAAGAATTGAAATGATCAGTTGTTTATTGTTTACTCTTCTAATGATTGCAGTAATTTACTGAGATGTGACATTTGGTAAAAATTACTGTACTTTCCTGTCAATTTCCTTAATTATTTTTGCACGTCTTCTGTCCTCAATGAGAAAAAGAAATCTTATATGGAGGATTAACCACATAGTTTAAGAGTGATTTGCATATGTTAGTGTAACTGAGCTGTGAGCTATGATGTTATAAATGTCATATTTGGTGACAAAATATTTTGTCAATTATGAATACCAGACCAGTTGACAGTGCAATGCTGCCACAGAAATATTGATGACTGGAAGTATTTGTCACAGCTCATTCAGAAGAAGGATTTTCATATAGTGAGGTTGTAATATGAAGTAGAACACAACAATTAAGGAAATAATCCTTCAGGGTACTCTATGGAAGTGCAAAAATGTGCAACGCAGAGTGCTTAGAACAGCAGCAGAATCTGAAACTGCACCATAAGCCAATCTGAGATAACAGAAAATGAAGGCTATAGTTATGAAAGAGGACTTTCTGACCCTTAAAAAAATGCCATTGAGATTATTTTGGGCATATCTTCTGGTACTTTGTTAGCAAGAATGTAAACAAGGAATTTGAAGTCCCCAATAGAGCTTCAGTAGACTTTTCAGCCTTTAGTTTGTTGAATCATGGTGTTGGAAACCAAAGTTGACATACAATATAATATGTGAAAAGGTTGTCAAGATGTGTGGTCTAAGTTGACCTTGCTGTCTTGGGCAGTAGTTCATAATCATGTTCATTAGGCTGAGTGCATCAGTAATAGAAGGAGTGGTTGCAAGGACATCATAGAACCTGCGACTAACCCTTAGTATGTTTTTTTGTATATTTTATCTCAAAGTTGACTAGAAACTTCTAATAAGAAAAGTAATTTGGTAGCAAGTATATTAACAAGTTAGTGAGTGGATAGCATATTTCAAGCTGAGTTTTGGTTGAAAAACATTTTTTTCAAAAGTGAACTAGATGTTGTTTAATATGTTGCATAAGAATGAACTACCCAGAATGCACTCTGTCTGTTGCATGTGTTCATGTCTGGCTAGAACTTCCACATATGTTGGCCCTACTGTTTTGAAATCTACAAACTGGTTTTGTCTTTATCACCAATTTAATTGTTAAAATTTATATTTTTGATCCATTCTACTATAAAAGTTACAAGAAAATCAGCAAACTGATGTTTTCAAATATTTTAGCTATCATATTATATGATGTGGTTTACTCTTAACACTATATTTCTATCCATTTTTAGAATTCTCTTTAATACATATAACAAAGTATGTTTTACTAATTTAAAGAATATTTTTATTGAAGTTTCAATGATTTATTTCTCTTACCATTCTTTACTTATAACTCTGCTTACTTTGCTACAAAAAACTTTTCTTTATGCTTAGAGCACACAAAGTGGTAACTTCTGCTCCACAAATGAGAAGAGCAAGGTCAGAACATTTTCCTGGCCTTTCCAGGGTTAGTTTGAAACTTATTGTAATCCAAGTGTTTTTGTTTCTGTTATTAAAGATTTAAGCTATTGAAATAAAAGAAGGATAGTGAAACTGATTTCCTTTGTATCTGTCATATTTATCCCAAACTAAAGAATTTCTCATAATATGATATTGAGATTTTTTTATTAATTTGAAAATATTTCGTTTTTGTGTTTTAGTCTTTAAGCAAAAAAAAAAGATATCAGAATAAAAAGGAAAAGTTGTCTAAGATCAGGAACTTGTGTATAATGTTTTCATCTTTATTTAGTTTTAGTAGTTTAACATAATTTTATGAGCATAAATTATGTGCATCCAATAATTTTGATCAGATTTCAGGATCGAAGAATACTTGTATACTGGATAAATATTTTTATGTTAATTTTTGACTTTTCTAAACTCATTGTGGTTTAAGCAATTCCATAGTTCCTGAAATTCCAATATAGGTAAACATTTTACTGTTAGTATTTGTAATATAAATTGGACAAACATTTTTTAAATTGTAAACACGTACGATTTATATGCAATTGCTTGTGGGTCCATGACTGTTGGGTACTAGGTCCCTAATAACACGTAACAAAAGAATTTAAACAAAAATACTGTTGCAGATAATATCACTGTGTGAAATCTTTGAATTTTAGTATGTATTTTACATTGAAAATAAGTAATTTCACCTAGTTTATTTGGTCAGTTTTTTTACACTGTGTGTTATAATAGGCAAAAACATAAGGCTACTCAATATTATGCTGGTAGTGAATAGTGTTAAGTATCAGCTTCAATCTTATGTTGAGTGTAAAATCTGTTATTAGGGTCGATCTAGCTTTGATAGATCTAAAACCAGGAGTTTTAATGTTGAGAGGCTTCTTGGAGGAAAAGATATATTGAATGGTCATCTGGAAAACAATGCATCTTCAGTTGCTGGTGATAACTCTTCTCAAAGTGAGTCTTATGCACCATCAGTCTTTTGGTTAGTTTATGTGATGACAGAACTAGCATTTCTCAGTTTAATAAATAAGCAGTTAAATCACAAAATAGCTGTTTTCATTAAAAATGCATGGGGAAAGACTTTAAAGTTTAGTTAAATCTTCCTTGTTGAACACTTTGTCTTTATTGGATGCTACTCTAGCAGGTTGACCACAAACCTGGAAAAGTCAGTTAAAATTGTGACCTGTTTTTGAACTATCTTAGAACCTGTACATATGTGTGTGCCATTATGCTTTAGCTGTGCCAAATATTGGTATATTTTACCATAATCTTCATCAATCACTATATATATATATATATATATATATATATATATATATATATAT